CAACCAAGGTACATGCCCTTGACCGGAATCGAACCTGGGACCCTTCAGTCCGCAGGCCGACGCTCTATCCACTGAGCCAAACCGGTTAGGGCATGCCTTTCTATTTTAAAGTCTGTTGCAAAGAGTATTATAGTTTCCTATAAAAGAAAATTCTATGGACACAGATCAGTAAACTATATACCTATATCTATATCTATATCTATATCTATTTCTGTTGCACTTGTAATATCGGCCTTTATTTCATCTACTCAAATCTTGAGGTGAGGGAAAAAATAAAAGATGTGTGATACTTTATAAGAACTAATCCTTTGAACCAAACAACTTAAGATATACTAGAATCAGGGTAAATTATCAGTATAGTAATGTGATGGCATCCTGTCCCTCAACAATCCAAATTCCAGTATTATACCCATCTGTAATAATGTAATTATGCACTCCATATACTGCAACATATTTCTGAGGAGGAAACACAAATTATTTGAGCAAAAATATTAACAACCAGCAGAAGACAAATGGGTTAGTGATGAAATAATAAAGGTGTTAAGGGATAAAAATTAATAATTCATCTACAGCTATTGCTGAAATTTTCCTTTGTATTGATATTTTAGCTGTTGTATCAACTTACATGTTCTTCATAATAAAATCCCCTAATGTGTTTTTTTTCTAATTTATATGAATATGCATCCCCTCAGGAAAAGCTGATTCCCAGATTAGAAAGCTTCCCTTCTGTTTAGTCCCATGAGATGGTTTCCCGCACAAGCAACAAGTCCTGTGAAATGGACACAGCTTTCATGCCTTAAAGTTCATTTCTCTGACTGTACAAACATTACTAGTCTAGGAAAAGTAAACCCAAATTACCACTTCCACTTCAGGCCAACTAGAGGAGAGACAGCCCTCATTTTAGAATTCTTTCAATCTTCCCTGACAGGAGTGCTAGGAAAGACATAACATACAAAATCACAAATTGGTCTTTTGACAAACTGCCAACCTAGTGGCCCTTAAAGGAAGAACAACAATGAACACAAAGGACAAAATAAAGTAACAGCTGAGAAACACAGCTGAAAATGGAACTAAAAATGCAAAGGGAGGGAGGGAAAAAAGGAGGCAGTCCAGCATAGACGTAACTTCAGAGCCCCAAGGGAAAACTCCATAAGGAAATCTTTTATTGCTTTAAAATTTATGGGTAAATAGCTTTATAGCAGAAAGCCCTGTTGACTAAGTGGGATGCATTGGATACTTAGATATTATAATCTGAGAATTTCTGGTGCAGAAATTAAAAGTTAGAAAAACCTTTTGTACTTTCTGTCTCCAGGGATGATTTATTTTAAAAGATACATGTATATATTTAATCTGTAAGTTTTGCTATAACAGACTGTGTTTAAAATATAAATCTTTCTGAACACAATGTCTTTGTTCCAGAAAAGCTGTGGATTCATTTGTAAATTAATTTTCTAAAGAATTTTCATGACATACAAAACATGAAAAATTACATGAAAGTTTATTTGAATCAATTTCATGTAATTCCCCATGGGTTACAATAAAATCCGAACACTGACTCCTAATAGGTAAGTGGAATGAAACCTAAATTTAATTTTTATTATTTTTCATTTTTATCAAAGGTATTGTGGTGACATTGATTAGTAAAATTATATAGTTTTGAGGTATACAATTATATAAATCATCTGTATATTGTATTGTGTGTTCACCACCCCAAGTCAAATCTTCCATCACCATTTACCCCCTCTATACCTTCTTTTACCTCCCCCACCCCCTTCCCTCTTGTTAATCACCAAACTGTTGTCTGTGTCTATGAATTGTTGTTTGCTTGTGTGGTTTTTTCTGCTTAATCCCTTCACCGTTTTTACCCAGTCCAGCAACCCCCTCCCCTCTGACAGCTGCCTGCCTGCTCTCTTTTTTATGACTCTATTTTGTTTGTTTATTTTATTCAGTAAATTGAACATATGAATGAAATCATATGGTACTTGTCTTTCTCTGACTGGCTTATTTCCCATAGCATAATACTTTTTAGGTCCATACGTGCTGTGACAAAGGGTAAGATTTCCTTCCTTTTTATGGCTGAGTAGTATTCCATTGTGTAAATGTACAACTGCTTTTTTATCCACTCACCTATTGATGGACATATGGGCTGCTGCCAAATCTTGGCTATTGTAAATAACACTGTAATAAACACAGAGGTACATATGTTCTTTCAAATTAGTGTTTCTAGTTTCTTCGGATATATTCCCAGAAGCGTAATCATTGGGTCATAAGGCAGCTCTATTTTTAATTTTTTGAGGTAACTCCATACTGCTTTCCAACGTGGCTGCAACAGTCTGCATTTCCACTAGCAGTGCAAGAGGGTTCCCTTTTCTCCACCTCTTCATCAGTACTTGTTGTTTGCTGTTTTATTGATGATAGCCATTCTGATAGGTGTGAAGTGACATCTCATTGTGGTTTTAATCTGCATTTCTCTGGTGATTAGTGATGTTGAGCATCCTTTCATACATCTATTGGCCATCTGTATGTCCTTTTTGAAGAAGTGTCTATTAAGGTCCTTTGCCCATTTTTTAATCTGATATTTTTTGGTGTTGAGTTTTATAAGTTCTTTATAAATTTGGGGTATTAACAACTTATCAGATGTATAATTTGAGAATATATTCTCCCATTCAGCAGGTTGTCTTTTCACTTTGTTTATGGTTTCCTTCAATGTGCAAAGACTTTTTAGTTTGATATAGACCCATTAGTTTATTTTTTCTATTGTTTCCCTTGCCCCAGAAAAAAAAGTTCTATGAGAAATGTGCAAGATTTTACTGCCTATGTTTTCTTCTAGGACTCTTATGGTTTTAAGTCTAACATTTAAGTCTTTAATCCATTTTGAGTTTATTCTTGTGTATGGTGTCAAAAGATGGTCTAGTTTCACTATTTTCCCAAAAACCATTTATTAAATACACTATCTTTACCCCATTGTATATTTTTACCTCTTTTGTCAAATACTAATTGACCAAATGTTTTTTCCCTTGATGCCAATCTGAAGATGTTTGATGGAAGGCAATTCCTTAAACTGCCTAATGTTAAAGAATATAACAAGAATTCCCACATTTTTCCAGGAGCATAAATGTAAACACTTCTCAGAAATATTCTATTTGAGAAGTTTGCCTGTACCTAAAAGATTGCTTCACTTCTCTTACTGAATTTCTATGTACGCATCAATTGCCTTGAAAGATATTTAACAATTTTTGGATTTCCAGACCTATTATTTTTTTAAATAATCATTCCTCCTCAAACATCTGTTCTTTTATTTATTAATATATAATAATACTTTCATTGTCCTCTAACTATCTGCCAGGTGCTCTCCTAATGAGCTTTTGATATACTTTATCATACTTAATCCTGTTTAAGATAAAGAAAGTGTTCATAAGTAGAAAAGACAGCATCTGCATATAACTCCTCTGTCCTCTAACTCCATACTTGTTTTGACAATGTTACATCTGACAGAGCAAGCATCTTTTCCTTCCAAGGTGAAAACTTATAGGTATGTTTTCTCCCTTAATGCTATTTTGTAATTTCAACCATTCTTTAATTTGTATCTTGGTCAATTTTTTCACCTAAGAAAAAATATTTAATACAGAAACTCAAAATATAAGATATCCGTAATAAGTTTTGAGATGAAAATCAAAGTGTTTTTACTATTTTTAATTTCAGTATATGTCATTTAAAATTACCAATTCTTCAAAGTTTTACCATATGAGCATTACTGTATTATACGTGGGTATAAAGGGGAAACTTTCTTGGGTGGCTGCTATTTTATGTGCAAACTGTGCAAAGAGAAAACAAATAACAGGAAAAGTAAAAGTAAAAAGCTGCTGTGTTAATAAATCCTTATTATTGGTAAGAAGATTTACTATTTAAAATATGTATTTCTAATTTAACTGAGAGTATGAAGACAAACAGGCTACATGTCTACGCATCTCTTTATTTAATGCGTAACTATTTTATATTAAAATTTCAATTCACTTTTATTTAAGTCAATAGTTCCTTACATTTGTCATTATTTGATAATCCTTTACATTTGGAAAGTATTCCTATTATTTTTCTTTAGCAAAGTAGAATGCAGACACCATACATCCCCTGATTTATATAGATCAAGGCTCCCTATTCCAAGATGGAACTTTTCAAATGTAGAAATAAGTACAGTTGCTATCCAGATAGATATAAATTCCCTGCAGTTATACTAACCTACAGTTTAGGAAGGTTTATATTGTTATTTTTCTTAGTAATCTATTCCTATTGGGGGGTGTGGAGGGCTCTTTTTGCCATACACTACTGTATCTACCTGCTATCAAATTAACATTAGAAAATGTTGAATTCATGAGTATTTTAGTTATTTGAAATACTTTTTCTTGCTATGTTCAGTTTCCTTATGATAAAAATGATCCTTTTATACTTAAAGTTTACATTAAATAAATTACCTTTTTTTAAATCTTTATATTCAAGGTGCCATGACTCGGATGTGAGCCCTAAATTAATTGTATTTTAAAATAACTGCTGTTGCAAATGAAAATTAACAACTTTATTAACAAATAGGCTATCTCAGTATAAATTTGTTAAAAAAAAGTTTCTAGAATTGGTACTATAATTTTATCTAAAATATGCTTGGAAGGCAACAACAGCTATAAAGTTTCATAACATATACACAGCACTTGCAAGTAGGGCAGTCAAAACTGCTGGGAAGAAAATTATCACAGGCATCACCACCTTAGGAAATAATTATTATCTATGCAAATTTAAAATGTTCATATATAGTAAATTTATCTATGAGTAACGTGGGGGGGAAGGAAACTGATATTTATTCATTTCCATTATTATGATTATAAAAAGTCTACCTCTCCCTTTTTGAATTATTTTCCGGAGACATTTTCATTTCTCATGGTGATTGGTTACAGGGAAAGGGGCTTGTTATTTCTAAGAGCAAGAAACTACGGTTTTATATGAATACACACCTGGAGCCGTAAAACTTGCTTTTGGAAATCCTCCCGTGTCACTCACAGAGCAGGGGGTGTGCTGGCTACAGCGCACCCCAAAGCCCGCCATGCAGCGTTAGCAGGCGGTTCTGCTCGTCACCCCGAGGCTGGGACTGTGGCTGCGGCGCGGGCGGCGTATGCCGTGTGACTAGGCTCGGGGGCAGCCGTCACGCTGGAGGTTGTGCGGGGGGCACCAGTGAGGGAGGACGAGCGTCAGGGCGGGAGGAGGGCCCCGGGCAGCCCTCGTCCACCACGC